GAAATTTTAAATTCAAATTTTTTTCATAAAAATAAAATATAAATTTGTTATAAATGATTGCAGAAATTTAATACTTTCAAAAGTAACAAAATTCTTTTTATAAAAGTTCAATTATTTTCAAAAGTTAAAAAAAATTCTCATCAAAATCACAATCACCTTTATAAATAACAAAATTCTCCTCCAAAATTCAATTATTTAAAAAATTTTCCTGATTTAAATGATTTTCAAAAGTAGGTACTATTTTAATAAATTTCCTAAAAGAATTCAATTTATTAATAAAATTGAACTCAAATATTTGCAAATTATTTTCATAAATATTTTTAACCCGTAATTTTGAAGAATTAAAATTTCTTTGAAAAAATTTAATTTAATTTTTTTTAATAATTTGAAGGTACATAGAAATTTTTCCTTTATTTTTTAAAAAATTAAGAATTTCCAATAATTTCTTATTCAATTAAAATTTGCAATTGAAGAATAGAATTTATAAAATTTATAAAAATTGAGAATTTTCTACAAAAATATTAAGAAACGGCAATAAGTAATGTTTTATTTTCTCCAAAGAAATTTTTAGAACTCTGCTAAGAAATCATGGAACTCTCAAAATATAAAAGATCAAATTTTTTTTTGCAAATTCAAAGTCTTGTAGTTTAGTAGTTTTTTGATTTTGTAAAAATTGTTATTAAGGTTTTTTGTCGAAGACTATGGGGGGCTAACAGAACTCTGCTCAGAACTCATGGAACTCCCAATTTATAATAAATTTTTTTTTGATAATTCAAAGTCTCGTAGTTCAATAGTTTTTGGGTTATGAAAAAATTTGTTTAGAAGGTTTTTTGTCCAATACTATCGGGGGCTAGCAGAACTCTGCAAAGATCTCATGGAACTCTCAAAATATAAAAGATCAAATTTTTTTTTGAAAATTCAAAGTCTTGTAGTTTAGTAGTTTTTGGGTTATATAAAAATTGTTATTAAGGTTTTTTGTTGAACACTATCGGGGGCTAACAGAACTCTGATCAGAACTCATGGAACTCTCAATATATAAAAGATCAAATTTTTTTTGAAAATTCAAAGTCTTGTAGTTTAGTGGTTTTTGGGTTTTGTAAAAATTGTTATTAAGGTTTTTTGTTGAACACTATCGGGGGGTAACAGAACTCTGATCACAACTCATGGAACTCTCAATTGTATATAAAAGATCAAATTTTTTTTGAAAATTCAAAGTCTTGTAGTTTAGTGGTTTTTGGGTTTTGTAAAAATTGTTATTAAGGTTTTTTGTTGAACACTATCGGGGGCTAACAGAACTCTGATCAGAACTCATGGAACTCTCAATATATAAAAGATCAAATTTTTTTTGATATTTCAAAGTCTTGTAGTTTAGTAGTTTTTGGGTTTTGTAAAAATTGTTATTAAGGTTTTTTGTCGAAGACTATGGGGGGCTTACAGAACTCTGCTCAGAACTCATGGAACTCCCAATTTATAATAAATTTTTTTTTGATAATTCAAAGTTTCGTAGTTCAGTAGTTTTTGGGTTATGAAAAAATTTGTATAGAAGGTTTTTTGTCCAATACTATCGGGGGCTAGCAGAACTCTACTAAGAAATCATGGAACTCTCAAAATATAAAAGATCAAATTTTTTTTTGAAAATTCAAAGTCTTGTAGTTTAGTAGTTTTTGGGTTTTGTAAAAATTGTTATTAAGGTTTTTTGTCGAACACTATGGGGGGCTAACAGAACTGTGATCAGAACTCTTTTTTCGTAACATTTTAATTTTTTTAAAAAATTCTGGAATTTTCAATTATTTTTTTATGATTTTGGATTATGAGAACTATTGAAATAAACTGTAGGGAACTCTAGAACTCTTTTATAGCTACTCAGAACTCTAATAATAAATCCATTTTTTCAATAGTGGGGGGCTGCGTGAAGTTAGCCCCCCATTATGAAAAAACCTATTTTTTACCATTTAATCGCCGGAACTATTTCTAAAAACTATCAGGAACTCTAGAACTATTGTAGAGGAAGTCAGAACTCTAAAAAAAATTTAATTTTTTTGAAAGTGGGGGGCCAACTTCACATACATCTTCCTGAATAAAAAATTTTTTAAAAACAAAAATTTTAGAAAAAAGAATTTTCCAAAAACAAGAATTTTTAAAGAAAAAGGATTTTTTATAAGAATTTTTCAATAGAAAAAAGAAATTACTAAAAGAATTTAGTAAAAAAAAAAATTAGCTAAAAAAAAAATTTTCAAAAAGAAAATTTTCTGGAAATAAAAATGTGTCAAAAAAAGGATTTTTTAGAAAAAAAATTTCTAAACATAAAGAATTGTTTAGGAAAGTGGATTTTTTTTAAAAATATTAATTACTTAAAAAAAGAATTAAAGAAAAAAGTTAATTACCTAAATAAAGAATTTTCTAAAAAATATTAAAACAAAAATTAATTTAAAGAAAAGAAGGTAATACCAAAAAGAATTTCTTTTACAAAAATAAATAAAATTTAAGAAAACCCTCGATTTGTATATACCGCGAAACGAAGTAATAAATTACAAACGAGAGAAAACATTTTGATACAAATAGTAATTAATAAGAAACTAATAACCAAAGAAGAGAAGAAAACGAAAGAGAGAGAGAGAGAGAGAGAGAGAGAGAGAGAGAGAGAGAGAGAGAGAGAGAGAGAGAGAGAGAATCTCTTAAAAAGAGAAAAAAAGGAAATAGCGATAAAAGTTGATGGGGGCTTTTTTAGAGCAGGTCAAGATGATTCTCAGCGAAGGCCTTTGAAAAATTATCTGTCTGGGATGCTGTACAGAGTTGCGGTGGAAGTGGAGAGTTTGTAAGCGATAATTTGAAACACGTGGAAGAGGGGAGGAAAGACGGGTGAATATAAGAGAGTGAGAGAGAGAGAAAGATAATTATTCGCGGTGTATCATGTGCGTCAGAGAAATAGAGGTATTCTAACGACTTCTGGATACGTATTAAGAGACAGCATGTTACTACTGTTCCAGAAGAATGTGTCACACAATGGTTTTTGAACGTCCGTGTGTATAAAAAAGAGAAGACAAACTCAAAGTGCAGTGCGAGAGAAGAGAGAGAGAGAGAGAGACGGAAATATAAAATGAATGATATTCTAGAAGCGTCCGACCAAATGGCGGTCGTCTCTATAGACGCACACTCGGCTTAATAAATATGATTTAAAGTGTACTCTCATTTTTTTTCTTTTCTTCTTCTTCTCCCGCTAAATCACAATTTCACTTCTTTCGATATATCAAACTCCATGAAGTTTATTTCATCCTAACAGTAGTCTCGAGAATCTTTTTATACTTTTTTCTCAAAGTACAACAAAAAATTTCCATTTTCATGTAAAAACTAATAAAACACTCGATTATCAAAAAAATGTCACGAAAAATTCGAATTAATACTGATAAAATAGAAATAATAATAAAAACAATAATAATAATAATAATAATAAACTTTGCTTAATTATAATTATCATGCATAGTTAAAAAATGTGATTGTAATAATTATAATAATTTTGATTATATTAATATTAAAAAAATTGTTTAATGATAATTTGTGAAAGCTTGCATGAGCTTCATTTGTAACAAGATAATTGCATCAACCTAGTTTAACTGTGGATCACATTGAACCAATGCTAATCAGATGATAGTAACTTCTTATGCACTTCAATTGTTGCAAACAATTAGAGATCGTACTTGTTGCGAGTCATTGTTCCTGAATGCCAATTGATATTACAGAAGAAAAACCTTCACTTTATTATACACCATGTTTACTCAAGTCTAAAAACTATTCCTCTATCAACATAATTAGTTTCCTTCGAATTAAACTAGGAGGTTAAAGTTTTGAACGTTCAAATGAACGAAATTTATTTCTTCTTCAAATTAAAATTTTATTACTATAATTTTGCGTCACTATTAAGCAAATTAATTATAATGTTTCTAAATGTAAAATTTGAGTTTTTAATTTGAATTGTAATCAATAATCTATGAAAATATTTTTCACAAAAAATATTTCGTTCATTTGAACGTTCAAAACTTTTTGTTCATATTAAACTAATATTCAATGAAATGTAATTAACCTCCACTAAATTATCAAATGTAATTCAAATTCTTGTTTTTGCCTACTGATGAATTAAAAAAACTTTCAATTAAAATTTAAAGAATCAAAATCTTTTTTTTAATGAAAGAAATGAATTTTATTGGAAAATTTTTCCGCTAAATGATAAATTCGAGAAAGGTAAATATAATATTAATGTAAATAATTGATGAAAAAGAAAAAATCACAATGAAAAAGAAAAACGATACATGTAAAATGATAGGCGGGAAACTAATGAATGATTAATCAGGAATTACATGTTTATCACGTGTTGATTATATGAATGTGTAAACTGAGTTGAGAAGTAGATAGACAAGGTGTCCTTGTAATAGTACCCCACAGTGCATCCAGAGCGAGAGAGAAAGTATAATAAAGAATGAGAGGTTACAATTTAAAGAGACACAACAACTTTCGGAAAAAATATAATAATTTTCAAAAAACAGAAAAAAAGATTCAAACGTAACCTATCAATTTTATTGCAAATAAAATAGGATTAAAAGAAACACACACACACACACACACCGGTAGAAGTTTTCTATATTATGCTTCACGAATGCATAGAATATAGAAATATGTTTACATTTCATACATTTAATGCGTAATATTCAATCTTCGAAACTTTAACCTTGAATAGGGACGATGTGAAATTTATGGAATAATCGAGATTCTGTCATGGAACTCGACGCGATAATCGGCTTGGAGGGCAGTGCGTCGTGCTCTCCCGCCATATCACAATTTGCAGACCGGGCCGCGCACACATGTGTGTGTGGGGGGGAAAATTTCTCCGGTGCGTGTGCACACCGGGGGGGAAAGTCAGGATAACATCGTCCTCGAGATTAAAAGTAAAAGAAAAAAAAAGAGAGAGAGAGAAAGATCTCCAAAAAGAAAAGAGAAAAATCACTAACCTGTCGGATGTAGACTTTTTTCCGTTTTTTTTTTTTTGCTGTGTGTATCCCTTTTACTCGTCCTCGACGTCTTTTTCACCGGGCGATCACTTGCTTATCACCAAAAAAAAAAAAAATTCACTCACGATCCTTTTTGACTTTTCTCTGTTATTAAAAGTCAGCGTTTTTCCAGTTACAATATTCCTTTCTTCGGGGTCACGCGCGTCCGCCCGACGCCCCACACTTGGTGAAATTTGCTCAATCCTTGGGAAAAAAAAAGCGGCCAACAATCGTTTCGACAAGCGACTGTCTCCCACACTGGAGAAGGAAAATGGCGGCTCCCGGCTCCATGTAGTAACTAGTAGCCAACGCGCGCGCGCGCCACCGATATTGTTACGCCCTTAACGCGGTAAATTTAAATTTCAACCACAACGTCCTTTATAAGAGAAAAATTAAACACTTTTGCAAAAATTTAATTCTAAAAGTACACTTTTAAATTTTTTTATCTATTCTCAAGAATTAAAAGAAAAGGACAAGTTTAATTATCAAGAGGACTTTTTTTTTTATTTTTTCCCTAAATTGCTGCCATCTATGGTGAATAACCACAAGTGTCGCTTATAAGAAAACTGTTCAACCAATGAAAATTTTGACAATATTTTGCAACAAAAACGCCAATCAATCGGTATTTTTTATTGGTCATTATATTTTGGACAAATTTTTCTCATTGGTCAAAATCTTAAGGCTACTATTTTACACTCAAATTACGTCAAGAATTTAACGTCTATATGTCTATTGAACCTATTGAAATAAGATAACCTAACCCTGTTCGAATTACAAAATTCATGTAAACGAATCTAAACAAGTTGCAACATTTTGTAAACATCAACAATGTAGTGATTATTTATATTTCTCATAATTTTTAAGTTTCTACTTAATTATTTCAAACTCACGCAGTGTTCATATATTTAAGAAATTTACGAAATGATACATAAAAATAGTGTTTAGCAAAATTAGTTATGGAGACGTCTGCTTTAAATGCTGTAAGTCCAAACTCCGTTCTACTTTCGATACATGCAATAATATTATCTTTTCTTTCACAAAAAACTTATTTACGCAGTTGAAATATCAATTTTTGCGTTATTGTAATATTTCTATAATTATTCTTTTCTTGCATTGGTTTCTTATGTTCATTCAATCAAGTTGTTTATGATATGGAGTGCTATTACTTTTTTTGGCGAATTTAATCTCAAATTAATTAAAAAGGGATTTACAATATGGTACTTTTAGTATTATTTTTAATATCAAATCAACTGTAATAAAAAATTAATTTTAGTGATTCTTTTTATTTTATATTTAGATATAAATTTAATTGTTCAAATTAATTATTCATCAGTGTTTAATTATAGTAATAATAAAATTTATTTTCACTACATTCAATTTGGATTTTTACGACTAATTATAATAAAATAAAAATAAGATAGAAACTAATTATAAGTATTTCTAAACATAATAATGAAAATAAAAAAACTAATAATTAAAATTTATCATTTAGATAATTAATAATTACTTCGAAATAATTTAAAACAGTAAATAATAATAATAATAATATATTGAATAGAATAATTGCATTTAATAATTATTATTATTATTAATTACAGATTTAAATTTTGTCTTTGATAATAAAGAGAAACAATAATTACTTTTACAGGCACATGAAAGCGAAAGGAGAGCAGAAGCTTTTTTGCGCGAAGGAAAATTTGAGGAAGCGGCAAAGTGCCATGAAAGAGTTGCTAATTTATTGACTGAAGCACATTCGAAATTAGAGACACGACAAATAGAATCGAATTCCTGTAATTCGGAAAATCAGAGTTCCATGAAACCCTCGATTCAGTCATTAGCAACACTTGAATCTCTCGCTCTTCAACGAGATTATCACACTAGACAAGCTAGCATAGTTAGGTAAATAAATTATTTATCAAAACTAAAAATAGTCAAGTCTAGAAAATGGAAATTTTATAGAAATTTTAATAAATTAAAATTTTACTCAATTAAAATTAATTCAAATTCATTTAAGTTCAGTAAATTAAAATTTAATTAAGAACGACAGTGAAGTTCTCGATTATGATCAACGACTTAAAGAAGAAAAATATTTTTCATTACGAAAACAATAAAATGTTTTGTTTACGAATTTTTCTTTTTTAATTAAATTATTGATAAAAAAAATTATACGTAAAACATATTTTATACGAAAATATATAAAAATTGAAATAGAAAAATATTATTTTTTCAAAACTGTTGATTATAAACGTTGCGAATTTCAACTAAGTAATGAAGTTAAGTAATTGTGAATAATTAAAAGTAAATTAAATTGATTACAATTGAAATAATAATTAACAGTATTATTTAATAAACTAATGAGGTAATTAATTAATAATATGGTAGGCTTCGCACTCATCTACTAAAACCTACTATTTACTACTTTTTTACGATTAGCTACTATTTGCATACTTTTGTTAAATTTGTGACACTAAAAGCTACTTTATTCTTTTTTTTTTTGTTTGAACATTTTGCACAAATTTAAATCTGCTAATAGTTGAAATAAATTAATTATTCTCAAAAATTCGAATAAAATTCTTTGAAACAATTCAAAATTTTGAAAATTTTTTTAAAAATCTTTCGCAAGAATTCAATTATTTTTAAAACTAATAAAATTTTTCACACGAAATCAATTACATAAAAAAATTTAATAAAATTCGTTGCAAGAATTAAACTATTTTCGTTTTCTCGAAAAAAGTGTTTTCCCGCGTGTCGTCTAACTTCTAAATAATTTGAAATATCTCGTTTGAACTAAAAAAATGTCTCAATCGTTAATAAAATAATTTCTTCGCAAAATTATTGCAAAAACGGAGAAGGGAGCGCCTCAGTGAGTGAAATTTCTCTATCACCCCTCCAAATATGAACCCGAAATATTTTATCCTCTCAAAATGAGACGTCAATTCCAAACCGTTCAAAACCCCCTTTTCCAAATGTTTAAACAATTTTTTCAATAATTAGGTATTAATCAAAATTTTGCAAAATTCCGAGAAGGGCTCGGATCCCTGAGCGTTTTTCTAAATTTTCTTAAAAAATACCGACTCAAAATATTCTTTTCTTTTTAAATGAGACGTCGATCACGAAACCATTTTTTCTCCCACCTGTCCTTAATAAAAAATTCTTATCAGGAATTCAAGTATTTCTCAAAAATTTTAATATAATTTTTTATTTAAAACTATCATCAAAAACGATTATTTTAAAAACTTGAGAGAATTTTTTTGAAAAAATTTAATTAATTTCAAAATTTATAAAAAACTAAATTTTTAATTAAAATTTTTAATAAAATTAGTTTATTTTTAATAGATTTAAAGAATTTAGTCAAACAAATTTATTTTCGAAAAATCTGATAAAATTCTTCAATTAAAAATGTTGATAAAATTCTTATTCAATTTTAAGAAATAATCATATTATTTTATTAATTATTTATTTTTGTATTTAAATAAATAAATTCTTGTGGAACTTTCTAATAAAAATTGATTTAAAAATGAATTTCAGTTACAATTTTAGATTAAAATTGAATATTAAAAATGCGTTATAATATGAATCTTTAGAAATAGATTAATTTCAAAAAGCTTTTAAATAAAAAATTATCTTTTTACTTTCAAAAATTATTTTTAAAAATAATAGAATTTTTGAGAAATTGTAACTAAAATTTTTAAAAATAATTGAATTTGATAAAAATTTATTATCAGGATAAGAAAAACAGTGAATATTTTTTATCGAAATCAGGAAAATGTCAGGGAAATACAGAATCAAATGTTTGTGATTTTTTGAATCGACTAAAACGAGTTTTTAAGTCGTCAAATTTAATTTTTCGATAGCCACTTTTTGTACTACTTTTTTTAGTCTCAAAGCTACTTTTTCCTAATTTTTAAAATTAATTATTGAGTGCGAAGCCTGATATGGTGATATTATTTGATTAAAATTAAATTCTTTGATTATAATGAATAGATAATTAATTATAATTATGTTTGATTATTGTTTGTTAATTATTTGATTGGTCATATAATTCGATAATTTATAGAGATAATGTATAAATACTAAAATTAATAAAAATAAGAATATTTTTTTTTCAGAATGAAACAGGCGCGATATGAAGAATATAAAGCGACATTGGAAGCTCAAAGGCGTGATTTGTACAATAAACAAGAAATTAATAAAAGATCTGATGAAAATGTGAATGGAATTTTAGACGATAAGTGCGAGTGTTCATTGAAGCAGGCAATTTATCGAACTATCGAAGAACAAGATAGTCTATTAAATGTTCTTGAATTGCCATCGCAATCGGAAAAAAATCAGGAGAGTCAAACATTCAAGCATCCAAAGGATACGGGAACTGTCATTGAAGAATTACGAACAGTTAATATACAATTAAGATCATTGATCGGCAGTTTACTTAGCCAATTAGAAGAAAAAGAAGATCAAGTTCGACAACTCACTGAACGTTTACATGAAATTTCCGTTGATACAAGTGAAGAGATTCATCACGATGAAACTCATTCATTACGATTAGCACCACTACCACCATTAACGCCACTTGAAATGCCACGTTTTGATTTTAATTCTACTTAGAAGAAGAATTTTTTTTATTAAAATACAGTATTTTAAATTCAAATATAAAATACTGTTTTTTCCCCTCTAAAAAAAATGAAATCTATTCAAATTTAACACCATAATGGTTCATTAATTAGGAAAATTAGTTATTGTATTTAATTATTGCAGTTGTAGACTTGATATTTATTTCTAAATCGTCTTTCAACGATAGAAAATTTAGACTTGATTTTAAAGTCTGTTAAAAAAATCAAAAAATACAAATTATACTCGGTTCGAGTAGAAAAAATTGAAATTATTATTATATATATTTATGAAAAGTTAAAAAATAAATACCAAAATAAATGCGAATATAAAAAGTGAATTAGTTTTTATTTACAATCTGCATCATTAAATTAATAACTTTGAATAGATAATAATTATTATTTATTATTCTTAATTCTTAATTTAACTAATTAAATTAATTAATTCGTCTTTTTGGTAAATGAACATTACCACAAAAACATAATTTATCAACTAGAACTTATTAATTAATAAAAAGGACAAATCTTATATTCTAATTAAATTTTTTGAATAATACTCAATTAGATTAAGATGGGCGGCAAAACAAATTGAATACTTCTCTCTTCTTCTTTTTTTTTGAAAAAAGGACTTTATAGAGAAAAACAAAACAAAGCACAGTTCAAAACTAGGTGACAGATGTGTCAAACAAAATGTCTCCCGAAAAAACCTAAATTTTAAGTATTAAAAAAAAATTTTCTCTTTCTAAAAATGTTGTTCAATAACTAAAAAGAAATATAAATTTAATATTCAATTTTCCATTTCGTTTTGTGTCCTCCTTGACAAAAAAAAACCAATTTTTTTCCAAATTGAAAGAGAGAAAAAAAATTCCAAGTAACCGTGACAAAAAATGAATAAACCTGGGGAAATTGTAACAATTTTTATTGGTCAAGCAGGAGTACAAGTTGCCACTGCATGTTGGGAATTATTTTGCTTAGAACATGGAATAAAAACCGATGGATTTATGCATCCGGGATATGACGCTGATGATAAAGCACATCAAGTATTTTTCTCAACGGCACAGGTATAATAGACTATTAAATAAAGAGACTAAACCTATTAATAAATATAAATGATTGACAATTAATTAATTAAATGATTAAGTAAATAATAAACTATCAAATATTTAATATAAATCCTATTTTTCATTATAAATACAATGTTTGTTTATTTTTTTTCCTATTTTATTTATTTACTTGTTTTTTTGTCATTAAAAAATTGTATTTTCCGAATAAATAAATAAATAATAAATAAATATTTATTTGTGCAAAATTATTTTTATTAAAGTTAAATAATATTTACTCCAAAGATTGAAATTATTGGCTAAAATAAAATTTATTCGATTTAAATAAAAAATATTTGATTCAAGTAAATATTTTCTTAATAATAGACAAGAATCGGTTATTCGAATTAAATAAATTTTCTTGTGTAACAATAATAGTAATAATAAAAAAATTATAATAACAACAATGATGATAATAAAATAATAATAATAATAATAAAAGTAATAAGAATACAACAGTAAAGAGAAAGTACAATAATTAAAATAAAATAATAATGATAATAAGAAAAAGAATAATAAAGAAAATTTAGCATTATTCTTATTATTACCTAAATAAAAATAACAATAAAAATGCTAACAAAGAGAAAAATGTATAAAAATGAAAATAACTATAATTTACTTAATGACAGTAATGAATTTTTATGAAAAATAAATATTGAAATTACAGACGGGAAAATTATCTCCGAGGACATTATTGGTTGATTTGGAACCAAACGTTATAGATGAAGTGCGAACAGGGACCTATAAGGAACTATTTAATCCAAATTCTCTCCTGCATGGAAAGGAGGATGCTGCGAATAATTTTGCAAGAGGATACTACACGGTTGGACGTGAAGCAATTGGATCTGTCTTAGACAGGCTTCGTCGGGAAGTTGAGAATGCATCAAGACCCGCGGGTTTTATAGTCTTCAGGTTATAAACAAAATAATTTAACATTAATTATTATGAATTACCAGCTACTGTGATTTGTATTTACATAATCAGAATATATCCAGAATTATAAAGAATAGAAATCCAAGATGATATTCAGAATGATCGAAAATTTCCACAACTACTACTACTATTTTTGTATTCAATAGTTATTTTTTATTTTTAGAAAAATATTATTATTGATATAAATGGAAAATTATAAAATTTATAATTACACAATTAAAATATTTTTTTCTACTTTTTGGTTCATAAAATAGAGTTCTTAATCGAATTATTTAATTATTACCCACAAATTTTGAACTTTCAAGTGACATAAAAAATATTTTCATAAATTACTGATTTGCAATAAAAAATTAAAACTTAAACTTTATATTTTCAAACTTTAAAAGTAAGTTTTATTGTTTGTGATAAAAAATTATTGTAATAAAAATTTAATTCGAAGAAAAAAAATGTTCATTTGAACGTTCAGAACTTATAGGATTTAATTAACATTTCACTTACTAAAAGAAATGTATTATTAATTAAATTATTATTCAACTACAACATTTTAATTGTTGACGATCCTAAAGTGCAGAACTTTTAAATGAACGAAATTTATTTATTTATTTCTTCTTCAAAATTAAATTTTTATTACAACTTAGCGTTACTATAAAAAAAATTGCAAAAAAAATTTACCTTATAAAATTATTTAATTAACATTTTACTTTTTGAAGAGAAATTTGTTATTGATTGAATTAATTAATATTTTATTTATAGAATAAAAAATAAACAGTGTAAATTTGTTAAATAAGTGACTAGTAAAAAAGTCTTTATTTTGAATGTAAATAATTAATTAATTATTATTAAGAATAAGAATGTTTTTATTTATGTTTAAGAAAAACATAAATAAAATATTGAGACTATAGAAATGAGTTTTTATTAAATTTGAAAAAGAAATGAATAAATTTCGTTCAATTGAACGTTTAGAACTTTCGAGACATAATTAAGTAATTAATTATAAGAAATAAGAATTTAAAATATAATAATTTTTGAGTTGTTTTCAAATGAAAATTCTTTCTTTCAATTCTTTATAGATCTTTTGGAGGAGGAACTGGAAGTGGTTTCACAACTCTATTATTGGAAGGACTTCTCGATGATTATGGAAAGAAGACAAAAGTCGATTTTTCAATTTATCCGTCTCCTAATATCTCGACAGTAATTGTTGAACCCTACAATTCAGTTTTAACGACCCATGGAACTTTGGATTATGAAGATGTTTGCTTTCTTGTGGACAACGAAGCTCTCTACGATATTTGCTCCAAGTATTCTCCTTCTAATTAACAATTCAACTGAATAATAGTTTAACTAATTAGTAATTTCATTAAACAATAATTTCACCAATTAATTATTTCATTAAACAATTCACCAATTAATTATTTCATTAAACAATAGTTTCACCAATTCATAATTTAATTAAATAATAATTTCACCAATTCATAATTGATATTAAACAATAGTTTCTCCAATTAATAATTTAACAGTAATTTAACCAATTAATAATTTAATTGAATAATAAAGAAAATAATTAGTAATATAATTAAATTAGACATTATTCACATTTAGCAAATAATTTTATTTACTAAACGTTGGTGAAGTTCACAACGTTTATAATCAACAATTCAGAAAAAATATTTTTATTTACATTTTTATATATTTTTGAATAAAAAATGTTTTGCATATTTTTTTGATAAATAATTGAGAAAAAAAAATTTGTAATTAAAACATTTTAATGTTTTCGTCATGAAAAATATTTTTCTTCTTTTAATCGTTGATCATAAACGCAGGCTTTGCACTCAATAATTAATTTTAAAAAAGTAGCTTTGAGACTGACAAATTAGTAAAAAAAAAATGGCTATCGAAAAATTAAATTGGACGACTAAAAAACTCATTTTAGTCGATTCAAAAAAATAACAAAAATTTGATTCCGTATTTCCCTGACATTTTCCTGATTTCGATAAAAAATATTCACTGTTTTTCTTATCCTGATAATAACTTCAATTCTAAATTTTTATCAAATTCAATTATTTTCCAAATTTTTAGTTAGAATTCTTCAAAAATTCGATTATTTTTAAAAATAATTTTTGAAAGTAAAAGATTAATCTTTTTTCAAATATAAAATTTATTGACAAAATTTTCAATTAATTTGAAATTTAAATAAACATTTTTAATTTTTAAAAAGCATTTCCCTATATTCAATAAAATTTAATTAAAATTTAACAAAAGATTAATTTTTTATAATTTCTAAATTAAATTATTTTTACTGGGATAATTTTTGTTCAAAAAACATATAAATACTTATTTATTTTTCGCTTGGAATTAAGATTTTAAATAATTCTAATTTAAAAGCTTTTTGAAATTTATCTATTTCTAAAAATTCATATTATAACGCATTTTTAATATTCAATTTAATGTAAAATTGTAACTGAAATTCATTTTTAAATCAATTTTTATTAGAAAGTTCCACAAGAATTTACTTATTTAAATACAAAAATGAATAATTAATAGAATAATATGATTATTTCTTAAAATTGAATAAGAATTTTATCAACATTTTTAAAAATAATTAAATTCCGAAACATTTCCTTTAAACTTTTGAAAATACATATTTTAATTGTTTTGAAGAATTTCTTTGAATTTTTTCTAAATAATATCGATTTTGTTAAAAATTTGTAATTAATAATTTTATTATTAAAGCTTACTAAAATATTGTTAAAAAAATTGAATTCTTTTAAAGTTTTATTAGATTTTTCGAAAATAATTAAATTTTTTTGATTAAATTCTTGAAATCTACCTATTAAAAATAAACTATTTTTTTTTCTTAAATTTTAATTTAAAATTTAGTTCTTATTTAAATTCTGAAATTAATTAAAATTTTACAAAAAATTTCTCTCAATTTTTTAAAATAATAGTGTTTGTTAGCTATTGTAATTAAAAATTTTATTATTGAATTATATTAACATTTTTTTGGAAATAATTGAATTCTTTTAAAGAATTTTATTACAATTTTTAAATATTGATTTTTTTCGAGAAAGTTATTAAAATTTTATTGAAAATGATTGAATTCCTGAGAAGAATTTTATTATGTATGAAAATAATTGAATTCCCGCAATGAATTTTATTAAATTTTTTTATATAATTGATTTTCTGTGAAAAATTTTATTATTTTCAAAAATAATTGAATTCTTGCAAAAGATTTCCAAAAAATTTTCAAAATTTTGAATTGTTTCAAAGAATTTTATTAAAATTTTTGAGAATAATTCTTTTATTCAACTATGATCAGATTTAAATTTGTGCAAATTTTCAAACAAAAAAAATAAAAGAATAAAGTAGCTTTTCACAAATTTAAATAATTATCCAAATAGTATAGCTAATCGTAAAAAAGGTAGTACATAGTAGGTTTTAGTAGGTACGTTTTGTAAACGTTGTGAATTCCACTCGACGTTTTACTATTCAAATAATAATTTAATAATGCGATTAATTTATAATTTACTTAGAATTAGATAATAATATTTAGAAAATTAATCAATAATTTAGTTAATTTATAAAATGCTTCGTAACCTAATTATTTAATAATTTAATTAATTAACATTTTGGACTAAAAACTGTGAATAGGATTTGTGTAAAGAAAGCAATTTTCTTTTTTTTCCCTTTACAGAAGATTGAAACTAGAGAGACCAAATTACACAAATTTAAATCGTCTCGAGGCGCAAGTAGTTTCGGCAATTACAGCTTCATTGAGATTTGAGGGAGCTTTAAATGTGGATCTACAAGAATTTCAAACAAATTTAGTGCCTTATCCTAGAATTCATTTTCCAATAATGTCCTTTGCACCGATTCTCCATAAAGATAAGGCCAGACTAGCAGACATTTCCGAAAATCAAATTACTCACGATTGTTTCGATCCAGCGAATCAGGTGAATTGAAAAAAAATTAACTAAAACTAATGAAAAAATTAAATAAAACATAATATAAATTTTATTCAATTTATTTCAATTTATTTAATTATTATTAATTGTTTAAATTAATTTTATCGCGGTAAAAAATTTATTAAATAAATAAATCAATCAATTAATTAAAATCAATTTAAAAGAAAATAAATTCTTCATTTTTTAATTCATAAATTGAATTTTCTTTTTTTAACATTAATTTATTAATTTTACTCTTTGGACTTTTGTTTACAACTTCATTATAATTGTCGTTAATGTTTTTTTTTTCTTTATCAATTTCAATGTGATGACAAATTTATTAAATGATAAATATTTTTCTCTTTCTAACTAATTGAATAATAAAATTTTATTCATCACGTGATATTCATTCTTTTTTCTTATTAATTTTCAGATGGTAAAATGTGATACAAGAACTGGTGCCTACATGAGTTGTTGTTTACTTTATCGCGGGGATGTTAATCCAACGAAAATTAATCATGCCATACATACATTGAAAGGAAATAAATCCATCAGGTTTTGCGAATGGAATCCCACAGGATTTAAGGTAATCAAATCTGATAATAACTGATAAATAATTCAAATTTTAAACAAGAATATATTTTTTCAAAAATACTTTATACGAAATAAACTATCAGATCATTTTTACATGAAAAAGGAAACAAAATTTAATTAAAAACACTTTAAGCATATTAATCATTCGGTTATTTAGAAATGCTTCAGTAATTATGATTTTTAATTTAAAACAATTCTGTATAATTAATTTTTATTATTATTTAATCATAAAAAACTTAAATTTAAATTTTGTTTAACTTTAAAATTCGAAAAATTTTAAAAAATTATTAAAAAAAGCAAACAAAACGTATTTGTTAAGTAACTAGCAAATGTTACGCGCGCCAGCAGCGCGCAGAACGTGATATTTAATTATTTTTATAAATATTAACATTCTTCAGAAGAATTCAATTATTATAAATAAATAGTAAAATTTCTTGCAAAAATTCAATTATTTTCAACAAAATTTTAATAAAATTTCACGAAAGAATACAATTATTTTCTAAAATTTTATTAATTATTTAGAAACAATTCAATTATTATTTTTTCAAATAGTAAAATCTTGCAAAAATTCAATTATTTTCAATAAAATTTCATGAAAGAATTCAACTTTTTTTTTAATTCGTTATAAAATTTTTTAAAAAAATACAATTATTTCCTAAAATTTTAATAAATCCTTCGAAACAATTCAATTTTTTTTTAATTATCAATAAAATTTGTTGAATTTAATTATTTTTATAAGTAGTAAAATTCATTGCAAGAATTAATTTCTTTTTTATTAATAATAAAATTTTTCTCAGGAATTCATAATAATACATGTATTAATAATACATTATTACATACATAATACATAATTAAACTCAAATAAAAAATATGAATTATTTTTAAACGTTTGAATAAATTTTTTGGATAAATTCAATTATTTTCAAAATTTTTAGTAAAATTCGACCAAAAAATTCAATTATTTTCAAAGTTTTAAATTAAAATCATTTAAAAAAATTACATCATTTTTACGAAAATTAATAAAATTCTTAAAAAGAATTTAATTATTAACAAAAAAAAAACTAATAAAATTGTTAAAAAGAGTACCTATAATTTTCTAACAATAATTTTTATAAAATTTTAATAGTAAAATTAGTAACAAAATCGATTATATGCAATAAATTAAAGAAAGTTTTTAAAAGAATTCAATTATTGACAAAACTTTCAAAAATGTATAGTTTCAAAAGAATTTAATTATTTTCTAAAAATTTTAATAAAATTTCTTGAATGAATTAAATTATTTTTGAAAATTGCAATATAATTCTGAGAAGAATTTAATTAGTTTCTAAAAATTTTAATAAAGAATTGTTCAATAATTAAATGTTTAATTTCAATTATTAAGAAGCACGATTATTTTAACAAATTGATAGAAATTGTTCATAAAATTCGATTCTCGGTCAAATTCCCGAATCCAAAAACCGGAAAGTCAAATTACCGACAACTAAATTTCCCGAATATACAGTAATTATTTTCCCGAAGATCTTAAAATGTCTCAAAAAATTAATCGAAACGTGAAGTATGAACCGATAGCAACTGTTCAAATGTTTTCAAACATACTGTCGAGGGGTTGCTCAACAATACGAAAAACATAATGATAATCAAGAACATAAAAAGAAATGTTTCAACCAAATATTACGTTAAAATATTCACTAGTTTTGGAGATGAAAAATTTTGAAATCATTATTTCTCCTTTCCATCTTAACCAAAAACCTTAATTCTTTTTCTAAAAAATTCAGCATAAAAAACGAAAAAATTGTTTAGGTACATTATGTTTATACCGAATTTTTATAAACAAAAAAGATATTCATTGCAATTGGTTTACTTTTTGAGTGAAAAATAAATAAATAATTCTAATTTTTAATAGATATGAAAATTTTTTTTCGGGTTTAAAGACCTTCGGGAAAAAGGTCTTCGGAAAAATTGTATACTCGGGAAATTTAGTTTTCGGCAATTCAATTACTTTCAAAATTTTCAATTAAAATTATTAAAGAAACTCCATTATTTTAAAAAAATTCAAAGAAATTCTTCAAAAGAATTTAAATAGGATTTTAAAAAATTTTAATAAAATTCTTCGAAGGAATTCAATTATTCTCAAATTTTATAATGAAATTCTTTGCAAGAATTCAATGATTTTTAATAGAATTTTAATAAAATTTCATTATATAGAATTGAGTGTTTTTTTAAAATTTTTAATAATATTCTTCGAAAAAAATTAAATTGTTTTCTAAAATTTGAATAAATCTTTCAAAACAGATTACCGAAATACCGAAATACCGAAATACCGAAATACCAAAATACAAAGATTATTAATATAGATTGTATATCAATTGTACCTATAATAATTATTAAATAAAATATAGATTATAATTGTAATTTGTTACTGAAAATCAGTGGTTTTAAATATTTCGTTTTTCTATTCCGAAAAGAATGAAATAAACAGTTTCGAATAAATAATTAATGAATTTCCCCAATTATAGGTTGGCATCAACTACCAAGCACCAGTTGTTGTCCCTCAAGGGGATTTACCACAAACGGACAGATCTCTTACAATATTAAGCAATAATACGTCCATCAGACATTCATGGAATCGAATTGCATCTAAATTTGATACAATGTTTAAGAAGAAAGCATTTTTACATCACTATCTTGCCGAGGGAATGGAACAAAGTGTTTTTAAAGAAGCACGAGAAGATATATCAGCTTTAATGGAGGACTATAATGAAATAGAAAATTGAATACTATATATATTTTCATGTATTTTCGGTAAATTAACAGAAACAAATTAATTAACTCACGAGACAAAAATATAGAAAAATAATTCATAATAATTGGCAAAAACACATATTTCCAGTCTTTTATAATTTCGAAAATAAAAATTAAATAATGGTAACTACAAATTTTTTCCTTCTCTATCTCTTCCTGTTTTATATATTTCTCGATATTTATAGAAAATAAGTAAATAAAGAAATCATTACTTATAATAATCGTCGTTTCGTCAATCTTTCGTTCTGTCCATACATGAAATTAGTCATTTTCGTGTATGTTTTTTTATAGGTCTTGATAGTATGGAAATTTTTTAATTCGTTATTTTCGGAAATTCAATTATCCTGAAGAAATTTTAATTAAAGTTTAATTAAAATATTATAATATAATTATTCATTAATTATTTTTAGTAATTTTGAGAATTCGAATATTAAAAAAAGTTCATTTAAAATACGCCTGAAATTAAATTGATTTCAATTATAAATTTTTACGATATTTCGATAATTTGAAAATATTTCAATAATTACAAATATATGTGACAGGGAAAGTTAAAAGGGACCTACAGTTAGAAAAAATCAATTTTTTATTATTTAGTGATTCTGATAGAAAAAGATTGCCTTTATCAAATTCACTAATCAATAAAAAATTGATTGAATTGAATTGATTGAATTCTTAAAAAAATTTGAATCAATATTTTTCAAAAAACTAAGTTCTTCAGAATTTAAAATTCAAAATTAAGATTTTCAAAAATTGCAATTTGAAACCTTTGAAATTTAAATAGCAAATTGAAATTTAAATCTGGAAATTGATGCGAAAATGTCAGGGAATTTTATCAAAAGTACTACAAACATATTAAATTTAAAGAATTCATAAGAAAATTCTGGATTTTGGTGGTCATTAACGTTTAAAAATATTTACAAGATTTAATTTAATTAAAATTAATTTTTTATTATTTAATTAATTAATTTTTTAATTTTAATTATTTTTTTTTATTTAATTTAATTTAATCAAAAATCTTCAACAGAATATGAAATTTAATTTATTTTCAATAATTTAATTCAATTTGAAATTTCAGAAAATATAAATTATTTAAAATAATTTGTATTACAATTTTATTTCATAATTATGAAAAAGTTAATTTTTTGAAAATTTTCTATTCAAATTGTTTTGAAATTGTTTAAATTTTTGAATAATTTTAATTGAACAATTTTAGAATAATTGAAATTTAGTAAAATTGAATTGTAAACAAATGGATTTCAGAATTATTTCAAGTCAAATTTATTTTTTTGTTTAAATAATTGAATTCTCAAAATAATGTCTCATAAATTATTAAAAATAAGTGATTTTATAAGGATTTTAGTAAAAAAATTTAAAAATTATTTAATATTCGATTAGAGATGCGTTCACAAATTTTATAAATAATTGTAGGGGAGAGTCTCCAGTTGTGAGACACCTCCAGTTGTGAGACAGTCAATTTTTTTTAACATGCAATATTAAAAATCCGATTGGTTTATATAAAAACATTTCTTTTTACATGAGCCAACTTTTTCATGTACGCCGAAGCGGATATATAAACTGTTTTTGTTAAATACCAACACTGTGTGTGATAATCGACTAAAAAGCGTTTTTTCAATAAATGAAAAGTACTTTTTTTCCAAGTTAATTAATTGGAAAAGGTAAATGTAATTCATTTTCTTTTAGTCTTTTCCTTATATTTTGTGATGCAATATTGCATTGTTCCAATCTACGGTTGAAAATAATTTAATTTTCCTTTTTCAAAATAGCACCAATTTCTGGGTGTGAGACACAGCATATCACCAGTTGTGAGACGGTGTCAACACCCATCTGGGCAGCATAAAAAATACAAATTTGCAGGCATACTATTTAAATGTTGTTTTGATTTCTTTTTCTAGTATTTTTGGGCATGTCAAGTGGAAAAAAGTCAATTGATTCAGAAGAAATCAATTTTAATGCTCTTGTTGAAGCTATTAAATTGTGTTTATTTGATATTCATATTTTGGCGAATAAATATTATTATTTAGTATATAATAATATATATTATTAATATATTTAATTATTTCTACTAAACATAACGTTTTATGTCAAACTTATTAAATTTTAGCAATTTTTAATGAGTGTCTCACAACTGGAGACATTTTTTTTTTTTGAAAAAAGCGATGTGCTCGGAAAATGTATCGTAAAATTTTTTGAGTTCATCGAAACACTATACTTTCTTTTAATAAAAGTTGCGTATTTCTGTTACCTTTCGAACGGTGTATTTTATTTTCAATTTCGTTTACCTGTTTACAATTTACGGGTCAAAAATGAAACCCGTCTCACAACTGGAGACTCTCCCCTACTTCAAAAGGTTTGAATTTCAAATTTTAGAAAATAAAAATTTTGAACAATTATAATTAAAATTTCTGAAGAAGTTAATTTTTTTAAAAAAAGAAAAAGAACTTTTTCAAAAATTAATATTAAAAATAATATTGATATAGAAACTAATTTTTATTATTAATAACAATTATTTATTATTATTTATTTGAAAAGTTACAGTATATATGTAAATAGTAATTATGTATTTTAATTAAATTAACTTGAAAAGACTTAATAAAATAAAAAAATTGTTTACGAAAAAAAATAAAAATTTATATGAAATTTTGAGGAATTAAAATTTTTTGTTAGATTTCAAGAATAGTAGCGAGGTTGTATAAATGATAAGCTTTTGATATCAAATGTATGCATAATGACTAGCTGATAAAAACAGGCTACAACCGCAACAGACTCAATGGCACCGGTTGATTTTCTATTAATCAGTTTGCAATTAATTCTTTGAATTTCTTAATTTGTTGTTCTTTTTTAATCAAATTCTGTCATTTCATATTCTTTTATATATATATTATCTCTTAAATTTTAAATTCTATATTTTTAGCGACATTTTTTGTATTTATATTTTTAGAAAAAAAGACTATTTAATTTTGTATAAGTTAAAATTATTTATACATTGTTCTTTTTATTCTTTTATTATTATAATAATATTATTACTTTTCATTAAAACAAAATCTATTATTGGTTTATTATTATTTTCATTATAACTAGCAAAAACTGACGCGCGCGAGCGCGCGTGCATTTTTTTTTCAACGTTTTATTTTAAATAATTAAAACTTTATTTTTTCAGCGAATTTGAACCATTATGATGTCACAATTTTTTAGCAAATGCTGTGAACAAATTGTGACGTCATTATGGTTCAAATGCCATTAAAGAAATTATTTCATCTTCTATTAATTAATATATTTTTGCATTTTCTTTTTTTATATAAATAAATTAAAATTTTTATTTATTAATTGAAAATATCTGTTCGCAGTTTATATTTTTTTTTTGTTTAATATTTTAATAATTTTATGTTTTAATATATATATAAATATATTTTTTCTATTAAAATAGCAATTCTTTAAAATGATTATTATTATTTTTAAGGGTATTTTAATTATTATTATGACGTTATAATGTTTTAAATAAATTTAAAAAATGGAAATGCTGGAAAGAATGAAAAATACATTTTTTTTAGAAATATAAAATTATTCAATTAACATCTTCTATCTTTATATCTTCTCTCTATATTAATATCTTCTTCTTCTTCTATCTTCTTTGATTTAGTTGTAATTTACTTTTTTGTTTCCTATCTTCTTTAATAATTTTATGTTTCAATATTTTTAATTTTAATTAAAATTAATATATTGAATTTCATTTAAATTCTTGCAAAAAATTTGAGAATCATTGAATTTCTTCAAAAAATGTCATTATTTATGAAAATAATTCAATTTTCGCTAAAAATCATTAAATCAATTTTGGAAACCCTAATTAAATTTTTCTGAAGAATTATTTTTTATTTTTTGTTTAATAATTGTGTTTCTTTAATAATTTTAATTGGATATTTTTAAAGTAATTTAAATTTATGAACAATTTTTTTCAAGTTTTTAAAACTAATTTTTAAATTTGTAAATTTAGTTGAAACATCTATTGTTTACATTTATCCCTTGTTTACAATTACCCCAAATGGCCCTAATTGTAAATTGATTGTTTTGTTGATTTTTGAATTTTATTTCGGAATAATTCAATTTTTTATTATGTATTTTTCATGATTTGAAGACTTTATATAGTCTTTAAAAGACTTGATAGTATTTAAATAGTTGAAATGAAAGGCGGTGCCTAAAGTATTTTTTTTAAGTTCATTATTTTTTTTTCTTTTTAGAAAATCTATTTTCTATAATATTGTGTTAAAAAAAACGTTAACATTTTATATTTTATTTGAACAGAAGATAACGATAAGTTTAATTCTTGCAAAAGAAAGCACTTATAAGTTAATTCTACACACAAACACACACAGAAATACGTTTATTTTTTACGTAAGTGCCAATAAATTAATTTCAATTTTTTATTTAAAATGAAATAATTTAATTTTGAATTAATTGTATTTTTGATATTTGAATAATTAATTATTATTTTGAACAATTACATTTTTCAATGATTTCAAAATAATTAAATTTTTATTAAAAACAGAATAATTTATTTTTGAATTAATTAAAATTGTTTGATTTATTTTTGAATAATTAATAATTGACTTTTGAATTATTTAAAATTCAAATATTGTAAAAAATTAATAAAATATTTAAAAAAACAATTTATTTTTAACATAATAAAAAAAGTAATTTATTAAAATACTAAATTCAAATAGATTTTGAATTGCAATTATTTTTAAAAATAAATAAATTTTTTGTGTAAAATCATTTTTTTAAAATTAATTAAAATTTGAAACAATTGAATTTTTTTTTTTCATTTTTGAAAAATTAATTATTTCGAACAATTTTTTAAACATAAAAGAACCAGGAGCTATTATCACTCATAATAGCAATCAAAAAAAGCACACACTAAAGGGATCGCTCTTCCCAAAAAATTTAGACTCTAGATCCTGCACTGTATAAGTTAATAATTGAAGATTAATTAAATTTTTGAAAAATTAAATATTAAAAAATTAATTATTTTGAATAATTAATATTATTGAATAGTAATTTACGAAAACGACCAATGTAATAAAATTTAGAACGATATTTTTTATTGATTCAGGA